ATTCACAATGAGGCCAATTTGAAAAAGCCATTTGTAGGAATGGAACTTTGAAGCTTCCTCCCCACACTGGCGACTGCCAGGGCAGGAGATGGACCCTGAATATGAGACTTTAATGGGAACAGCAGCTGAGGTAAATGCAACCAACCTACCTGCCTCTGCAAGGAATGGCTTGAATAAAACTCTGTATGAGACACTGGCTTCAAATCCAAGTTCACATGGAGCAAACAAAAAAAAAGTGTTCTCTATAGGAACTCAATCCTCAGCAAAGATTTTTCTGGATGGAAAAAAAATATGAATACTTGAAGAAGTGTCTTTTCCCTTGCCAGTGAATTGTGTTCCTCAGAGCAGGTGTCAAGCTGGAGTTTGGGCAATTCCAAAAGGTCTGAAATCCTAAAATACAGCCACTGCAGAGTGCAGCTGGACTCTATTCAGAAACCAAAGAGAATCAAATATCTACTAAAGTCCTGTAAAAAATAAGGCAAGTACTCAGAGATATTCTAGCAAGAGCAGTTTGCTCAGGAACATGTTTTATTCCCCTCTGTTTGAGTCATAAGTGACATAATGTGTCTGGTTTGTCCAGAAATGCTGCAAACAAATGCAGAGAACACTTAGGAGACTTCAACAGAGCTGTCTGCTCAGGAAAGACTGAAAAAAATGCTTGCTAAGCCTGAGAAAGGGAAGTTGGAGATGAGGGAAGGAAAAAAAGGAGATAAACTTTGTGACACTAGCAGTCAGTCGTTCTCATGAGCTGGGAAGGGCTCTGCTAACCAGAAAAGCTGCTGCAAGCTTGAGAAGGAGGAATTGGGGACTGAAGAACTCTCCTGCAGCACTTGGGCTGCTCAGGGCAGCTCAGTTCACAGGGTCAGCTGTCCTGGGACACCGAGGGGGCCAAAAGGACACCTGGAAATGTTCTGCTTTGGACATGACCCTCCTGAACTAACAGACCTTCGGGTACAGAGCTCTGCCAGTGAGCACACTGGGTTTGTACCTGAGCTCACCACTTTGACGGAGACATTGGAGCCTAAGGCAAAGACGAAGCACGTTAAAAACACACCCTTTTGTTACCATGATATTTTATGAAAAATCCCTTCGCCAGGATTTCTTCTCCGGGGAAGATGAGAAGCCTCAGCTTCTCCATGTTTTGCTCCTCTGGAATGTGATTTGGAGAATTGTTTACCCAGCATGTGAAGTGGTTTTAATTAATGACTAAGCCCAGTCCAGCTGTGTCAGATTCTCTGAGACAGCTAAAGATATGATGATCATTGTAACTCAACCCATTTTGCTATTTCAATCAAATGAACTATTGACACCTGTGAGCAGCTCTGACACTGTTTCTAAGTGATCTCCTTTTATCCAGTCAGGCAGTTGTTTTATAAACTACACAAAGCTACTTTGTAGCTTCAGTTCTATAGAAACTTGCAGAGTTTATACCGTAAACTGCTTGCCAACCTTGGATTTTGGTCATTGTTGCAGTTGAAATGTTCCTGTCCATACACAAACTCAGAACTGGATTACAATCCAATAGATTTCCAATTCTCTAAATATTTCAATAGCTTGCTGACCAGTAAGAAAAGCACTTGTGATTTTGCAACGCTGTGAAAAATAAAAAAAAGTTTCTATAGCTTTTCCACTAACATATACTCATTTCAGACTTTCTCAGGAAAAGATGTTGTCAGTCCTGAAAGTTTTCAAGAGTGAATTTCACAGACCAGAAAATACACAGGTGACTGGGAGAAAAAAAAAAAAGCTGCTCTAGCCACCATCATCTTGGGTATAGTTTTGGTTTTAATGTTAGTTTTGTTTTCAATCTTTATGTTCCTCTCTATGACTGGCTTAGAGTTTCCAAGGAGCTGAACTGTTGAACATCCCGCGCTGTTCAACTTTTCATTGTTATGTTCAAAATAACATGAATAAGAGGCTTTTCTTTCTTATAAAGAAGCATTTTGCATATATTTTAAACTGTACACATGTATTGTACTATAAATGGATGTAAGACAATTATTTTTATCCTCATTATGAAGGGGGGCCAGCACAGGCCAAAAGTCTTTGTCCATTGAAGAAATCCTGCTCTGTCAGGGCTCTTCTCTGAGATGTGGATTACAGGGGCAGCAGAGCAGGATCTCACCTTGATCACATAACACACCTTCCCATTCACATATTGAATACCTGCAACCACTGTTTCCCAGAAAAATGGCAGAAGGTTGCAATAGATAAAAATATACTAATGTTTTTCTCTTTTATCTCCGTCCAATGAACAAAATTTGAGATTGTGTAGGGGAGAAGATTCAGTCTCACTTTGCCATCTAGTGGCAGCACCTTGGCTTGCTGAGATGTATCCCGGAAAAGCGAGCTGACATTAGCTAGAGCTGGGAATGAGTTCCTAATTCTTTGGAAAAATCAGTCATTTTTCTACTCAAAATACTAAGAAGCCTAGTTACATTTTACAGCAGCACTGCACAAATAGCCACATTGCTAAAGTGAGTTTCCATTTGCAGGTACTTGGGTGAGCAGAGCCTATTTTAGCTGTGTTTCATCATTTTATGAACCTGGATCACTAGCAATTTTTTCCTTGTGGATATGATTCATTAACTTCCCTTTCTACTTGCTCTTGGATTTTTACCAAGACAGTGGTATAGCCAAGCAGTTTATCTTTAGAAATATAAAGGACAGCTCGTCCAGACTGGCTGAATGAGCTACTTCTTCCTTCTTAAGGAAGAAACCCAAAAACTTAAAGTTTTTAAAAATCATTACAATTTTGTTTCAATTTATATTTCTTTGCTATGATTTTTTGTGCATGTCTGTATTTCAAGGTTTATAGTATTATTTTTTTCCTTCCACAATTTTGTGAGATATTGGTCATTATCTGGACCTGCAAGATCCTATTTGTGGCTTTATGGAATAAGTGAGTATAGCCTGGCAAGTGACAATGCTGTGGATGGCTGGAATTGTTCTTTGGGGTCTGGAACAGTGGGGCTGCATCCCTGTGCCAGAAATGCTGAGCTGCCACAGCAGGAGGAACCAGAATTCCAGTTAATGGATCCACTGGGAAGCATTGGAGGTGAAATGACACTGGATGAGTGGTGTTTGTAGATAAAAATATGTAGGGTCCATTTTAGATCTGTTTAGAAGCAGTGGAAAGCAGAGATGTGGCCACTGTGGTTGTTATCTATAGTAAAGCAGCCATATAAAAGCATAGGAATAACAGGTAAGAAAAAGTGTAAGAAAGAAAGTGGAGGGAAGGATAAGAGTGGAAAGATCTCATAACTGTGGATCAGTAACTAGACTTGACTGAAGGGACTTGATTGTTGCAATTTTGGCGTCTGGTGGTCTGAGTGGCGCTCACAATCTTGATCCATCAGGGCGGGGGATAGCCCAAGGAACACCAGGGTCAGTGGGTAAATACAATTTAGGTTTAGATGGAACACGTGAGTACCTGCCCTGGGGAGGGGAATTTTACACTGTCTGAAGGGTCTTTGGTGGTTTATGACCCCTTTTAAGGCATGACCCTGCCTCTCACTTCAGCAGTTAAGCCAGTTATGTCCCAGAAAGGACAAAAGCCTTCAGCCCCAAGTGGGTGAATGTTCCTCACCCTTCTTTGTGGCCAGGGGAGGACATTGGCACAAAAACAAACACCACGGTCTGTATGGCCTTCTCCCTAACCTGGCTCAACTCCCAGAGCCTCCGGTGCTGGGTGTGCACCCCTCTGGCTCGAGCAGATCGGGTTTCACCACCACGGCCCCACCACGGTCCTCACCCCGGAGCTGGTACAGCAGAGCACGGGGTGCCTCCAAAACGGAGCCAAGAACCACGAACAGCTCAGACTCTCTCACACAGATGCACTTCGTAACACAGTGGAGATTTAGGCTAATGCACTCTCCTGGGCATCATTGTTTGAAGGATTGCTTTCAGTAGATGTTTCTGAACCCCCCAAAATTCGTCTTTGTGAGCAGGTATTGGAACAAGCAGCAAGAAGTACGAATAGGTTCAAACCCGGCCGTTGTTATCTGAGGTCTAATGACACTGAATGACACTGATGATTGGACTGGGTGGTCTTGAAGGTCTCTTCTAACCCTGACGCTTCTGTCAGGAGAGTTTGGTGGTGCTGCTGTACCTCTTACAGCAACTCCTTGCCTTCCCTTGTGCATAAGTGAACAAGTACACGAAGGAAAGGCAAAACAGGCCAAGGCAAAGCAGGCCAAGGCAGAGCAGGGCGCGACCCCCGAGAGTGCTGCCAGGGTCCATCCGGGGAGGA